TTCTTCTGCGTTATAGTGACAGAGACCCTTTAACTTTATAAGCTGCCTTCTATTGTAATAGCACATGGAATATTATGCCTTCAAATGATCCCAACTCATTTTCACAGATGAAGGTCCTTGGGCCTGCTCACACAAACATATCCCTTCCTCTGTCCTTATTTCTGACTCTTTTACTCAGTAGTTTTCTGGCTTCAGTCATGCCAGGTCATTCTTCATGAGTGCCTGCCGAGTTCCCATCACAGAGCCTTTGTACTGGATGTTTCTGCCAGGAAGGCTATTTCTCAAGAGTGCCTCTTGTCATGAACTGTCAATGTCCTTAGCAGGCCTTCTGTGACCACTCCTTAAAATTTTATCTCTTACATCAATTTGCAATGTTATCTCTCTCCTTCATACTCTTCTGGGTTTATTCTTGTTTTTCTACTGCCTTCCTTTACTGGAAGTCCAACTTTACAAGGGGAGAGTTTGACCTGTCTTATTTACTGCAGCATCCTAGGTACATGGATCATGGCTGACACATTCTGTGTGTTCAAAAGACATAGACACATAGATACATTTCAAGGAGATGCTGGCCAGCTCTTCAGGACTCCTGTTCCTCCAGATATTCAGAATTATAAGAAGGTTCTTCTTTCCCCTCATTTTCCTGGTTCCTTTTGCTGCCCGTATTCATAAAGTTCCTAATCGGGTTCTGAGTATCCATCTCCCATTTAATTATTGCTGTAATGTTACAGTTAGTAAAGGAAAGAAACATTTTATGAAATGAAATGAAATCAAGGCATAATAAATGCCTCAAAGAGAAGATTCTGCTAGTCACCTCACTCATGCAAACCCAGAGCCTGTGGTGCAGATCCAGACCTAAAGCCCCTGGGGAATGTGTCCAACTGCAGTTTCAGGGCACCATCTGTTCCAAGGGACAGAGTGTAGGGCCACAAAGTCAAAAATACTACCATTTTCCTCTGGGATCCCTATAGCACACATTCTTCAAATGGGTTGTGGGGGCAGGGGTTTGAGGAGGGAGTCCTGTGATCTTAGGAGTGCGTGTACATAGATAAAAGTGTTCGGCTGCAGCAGGTTCCATTTTTTAAAGGCTAGAAGTGCCCGGCATTTGACCCCATGTGCCCCTGTGCTTCCTACCTTTATGAGATATGAAGGTTGTTTTAATCCTTGAAACATTCTTTTCCATTTCAATGAAGATATTAATTTTTTTTTCAGTTTTAGACTTACTGGAGGGATTAAAGAAGAGAAAGTGTGGGCATTAACTGTCTTACAGCAGATACTCAGCAAAATGTGGAGTTTATGTCTCCTCTCATCCTGGGTTGGAAACACCAGTTTCTAATTTGATCTGTGCAGTGCATATCTTTCTCTATAAACTGGTTTATAGAACTGGTTCTCATTAGGGAGCAGATGACACCATGAAAATGAAGTGACCAGAAAGCTCCCCTTGCTGGCTTCCACTCTGCTTCTATATTGAGTCCTTTGCTACATCTCAGGGCACAGTGATAGGCTTCCCTGTCAGACTCTATATCCTGAACCTCCCAACCCCAGCCTCAGCCACATCCAGGTATTTGTGATCCTAGTTTCCGTAAGATCACTTGGGTGTTCACACTGAGTGCCGAGGAAATCTGCCAGGAAACTTGTTTTTAAAAATGCAGGTTCCCAGGCCCCACTCCAGAGGAGCAGGTCAGTGCTAGGGATGCAATGTGCTTTTCCCAAAGCATTCTCTTCTGAGAAGGACCAGAGCTATATTGAGCAGGGGCACACTGTGAGATGCAGTCTCTGACATACAGTGAGTGCTCAATAGTGTCACTCCTGCTTTCTGTCACTACTCTTAGTTTGATCTCACAGCTTTTAGAACTCCTGTCCACCTCTTTCCAGGCATTCTCTTGCCTGCCTGTAAATCCACATTGCTTGGACAATTGTGGTGCCCAGCAGGGTACCATTGTGCCTTCTGTATGTGCTTCCTCTGGGAAATTGTGGGTGTGGAAATTATTTTGATCCCATGCTGTGGACCAGGAAACAGGCATGGAGGGATGATTCATAAATAAGGATCTGCCTAGAAGAAGATAGAACCCCAAAAGCCCAAGTGTGTAGGACCAGGACAGCCATCCATTCTTTTCATCACTGACTGATTTTATCTCCCAACTCCCACCACCCTGGCTTTGCTTTGCAGAAGTCCTGTGAATTTGTCTTATAAGCAGCAACACAGTCTTGGGGAGCAAGGCTTCAGAATAGAGTTGGGCTGGGCTGTAGCTCCCCGACACAGACACCTCCTGCCTCAGGGAGAGGCTCCACAGCTGATCACACTGGGGCCTTGACAACATCTGCAAAGAACCTCCAGAGAAGGCACCGGGCTTCTCCCTCCAGGCCCCAGGATTAGAAGTCCCAGCTGGCAGTGTCCAGGCCAGTGTTGATTCAATTTAGAGCCTGATTCTGAGTGTGTCTGTTCTATTCCATGCCATGCACTCTCCTCTTGGCAGCTGCATGCTCTCCTCAAATGGCCTAGAGATTTCTTTCCTGTCTGCAATTTGGGCTGCAGAGGCATAAACAGAATGCACAGCAGCCTCCTGGCAGGGCTGAGGTTCTGGGACGTATTTCAGCATGGAAGCCTCATCTAAAAAGTAGGCCCTGCAAAGGAGACTCCATCCAGACAGCTCGATTGCAAACAGCAGCCCATCTCTGGATTCCACAGCAGTGAACCCATTCTTTAAGTATAATGCAAAGGGAGGCTGGGGAGGAGGAAGAGGAGCAGGAAGCATATCCTCCTTCTCCACCAGCACAGCCTCAGCTCTACCCTCTGCAAGTGTTTGAGCCTTACTTCCAAAAAAAGGTCAGTAGAAACTGGTACAGAAGGTGCTCTTCATATTTCTTGCCAAACAATAAAAATCATCTTGACTACTAAAAGTATTAAATACCTTGAATCCTTCCTTCTATGTCTAAGAGGTTGTTAGCTTATAAAGAGCAAATTAATTTTTGAGATAAGATTCTGAATGCTGTAATATCTTTGGCCACAACTTGGCTCTACCTAGAAGAGGACAGGGCTTCACTGCCGATATGTGAAGAAGCAGAGACCATGTGGAATGGTCTTATATAGGCAGGAGCAGACTGCACTCACCATGGATGCCTCACACATGTCTTTTCCAAAACCTTTGGAAAGCTTGAAGGACAAACACCTCTGAGTTTGCTTCAACTAGCCCAGGAATCTGGCTGGGATCAGTAGCAGGTTTGATGAAGCTGGCCTCTGGTGTGGACATACAGGCCACCATTCCTTCACCCATGCCATTTATCTAGGGTTCCCAGTACCCTGGGAAGAGGTGATACCTCTGCTAGTGGACCATAAGATAAGAACTCCAACTCCGTTCCAAAGCTTGATGTCCAAGTTCAGCTCTGCTTCTCATGCACTGCTGCCTGTGCATATGTACCCAGTAGAGTAGATATGCCACATCCTCTTATTCTGTGATGTCACAGATTTGAAGTGCCTAGATGCAGTTGGTAGCATATTTAGCTCATGAGACAGAACCACAGTGCCCTTGCAGAATAAAAAGCTGCATCTCTTCCCTTCACTGTCTTGACCTCCCCTTTATTAGTGAGCCACATAATCTAACTTAGGGTACTGATTATGTAAGCAGGACCAGACTGCACTCACCATGGGTACCTCACACAGGTCTTTCTCCAAACTCTTATGTATGGTATGAGCAGTGCCTTTGAACATCTTGGTAACCAAGCTCATCTGAGCCTGCCTCATGTCACAACAGCCTGGAGCCAGGAATCCGGATTTCCACACATGTTTCTACTTGGAAATCATGGTCTGAAGCACCCATAGAACACATTCACGAGAGAGAGATATACATAGACCCGCCAGGGTAGGGCTGGCTCTAGAACAAACACTTAGAATGACCTTAGGGGTCCAGGATCATTCAGTCTAGTGCTTATCTTCCAGAACGAGACCAAAGAACAGTACAGAGCAGGCACTGTGCCTTGCTCTACCCTCTTTGCCTGATTCCATGTGTGGCCCCTACACCTGACCACATAACCTGTCCAGTGTACCCTACCTCCTACTTTGTTGGTGGCACAAAGAGAGTTACGCAAGATTTCCCTTGCCACAATAGCCCAAGTGTCATCAATTCAGAAGCCATCAAGAAGTAACTACAGGTTTAGGCAGGAAAACAATGTTCAAACTAGAGAAAATCTATTTCAAGTATGTCAGTCAGTTGTTTAGCACTCAGCCTCAGAATTCTATAAGGCATCAGGGGTATCATGGCATCCCCAGGGGTCATCTACCACCTGGACCATCCCCATATGCAGTGGAATCTTGAGTACTCTGTGCTACACAGGGCTGCCTTTCTCCCTGTTCTGCTTTGGACAATGGCAGTGGGACGTGGTAATGGTAATTTCATGCTTTAATTGGTGTGTATAAGTGCCTTTCTTTGATGCATAAGAATAGGAAGGCTGTCTCTTTCTTTGCTAGGAAAAACTTCTTTCAAAACCTGGGTTCCAGTGGGGTCCAGTAAAGTGAGATGAGCTGGGAATTGGTACCTTTGGAATCTTTCACTCAGCATGGGTCCACATGGAGTGCTGGGGACCAGGCTCTGTTAAATGAATTTTTTTTAAATGACCATTTAAAAAGGAAAACAAATCTCATTTTCATCCTTCTATCCAGGTTCAGTGTTTACAATGTTATCTCTAATGTTGTCCAGATGTTTTTCCCCACAGTGACACACCAAGTCTCATTTAAAAGTCAAGCCTGCAAATGCCATCTGCCCTCTGGCAGGTTGGATGCCTGCTTTGGTCATCAGGTTTGTTTCTGAAGGCAGTGTTGCCTCTACAAGGACAAAACTGAGTCACCAGGAAGCAAGGCAAACTAACAGCAACCCTACCTGGCACTCTGAGATACTCCAGTTTCTTGCGTGCAGACACCCCTCATTGCAATGGACAAGCTTCCTTGAGGAGGGTGTGCTTGTGTGAATAGCACCCTGTAATATATACAACCAGAATGGAGGCCTTACCTCATGGGACAAGTAGAAGGCTGCAATGCCCAAAGGCCAGAAGCAGCAGAGCATGGAGAAGACGCTGAGTCCCAAGTGATCCCGTGGGGGCATCATGAGGAAATTGTCCTCACTCTCTGTGTCGCTGGAGTAGTCACTCTGCAGAGACAAGGGAAAGGACAGGAGGGACATCAGTGAAAAAGTAGCCAAATGCCACCAGTCTGAAGCAGGCCCTTTCTGGCCGCTGTTCTTGATGATATTGCTGATGTTCACGTTATTATGATCATCTGCAATGTAAACCTCAAACAAGGGTGCAGCAGCGGAAAAATTGACCAAGAACAGGAAGAGCGAAGGCCTTCCTAGTTCAGAGCTCTTAGTTAAAGGTAGACAAAATCTTACGGAAAACAACTGTCGGACAAATGATCCTCCAGCTCACTGTAGTTCAACTTACAGTTAAAAGTTTACCATAGATTTCTCCAGGTATTAAATGCATTCTAACTTACGTCATCTTAGACTTACAGTGAGTTTATTTGGGAGGCCAGTGAAGTGTATTGTGTTTCACATATCTTCAGGATCTTGGTGTGGAGTTATGGGTATTAAAAATGGTGGCCTTGGGGGACTTCCAGAAGACATGCCTTAGCTGCCTTGTGCTTTTGTACTCCGGACACGGTGGGGATAGTGTAGACAGAGGAAGAATTGCTGTCTCTGGATACCCTCCAGTTTCCTTTGATTCGGATCTGAGTCAGGATGTAAAGGGCCCGAGCTCCACACAGATGTGCAAGCTCCCTCAGGGGCATCTGGCAGCTGTTCTGGGAGAAGCTGCCTGTAGATGTAGCTCTCCCTTCACTGTGATACAGTGGCACATGGGATTCTCATAGACCTGTTGAGAATTTCCTGTGGATCTCCTGTTGGGTGGTTTGGTGAGTGGGCAGGGAACACCTGGGAGGATGATTCTAGAACTCAGCAGTGGGAGAGCCACCACCACAATAGCTTGTAGGTCCGGTGCATGCTTGCTTCCCAGATGGACAGCCTTGGCTGGCTGCACCCATAGTAGATTTTTATCTCATCAAAAAACAAAGTTGCCTTTCCAAACTTTTTATTTCACACAAAGATGGAACCCTAGCTTACTCCAGACACTTTTCTAAAAACAAAGCAGTAACAAATCATTTCCTCTTCAAAGTAGTCATTATCACTCAGATCCTGCAACAAGATGGAGACCATTGAGTATATACTGTGGAGCTTGTCTGTGCTATGAGATGATTCCATTTGACAACTTCCTCACCAAGCTATACATCTATCCATCACAGCAGCCTGGAGCCACTCATAAACAGATGTCAATGGACCTAGACCAACCCCTTCCCCGGCACATATATAGCAGATATGCAGCTCAGTCCTCATGTGAGTCTTCCTCACCCCAAAACTGGAGTGAAGGCTGTCCCTAAAGCTGTTCCCTATCTGTGAAATCCATTCTCCTGATTGAGCTACCTTGTCTGGCCTCAGTGGGAGACGATGTACTTATCTCTGAAGAAAGTTGATGTGCCAGGGTAGGGGGATATGCAGAGGAGGCTTCTACACTCTCAGAGGAGAAGGAGAGAGGAAATAAGGGGAAGGACTGTGATTGGGGGCGGGGAGGGACTAGGAGAGGGCAGCAACCCGTATGTAAAGTGAATAAATAAATACATTAATGGAAAAAACAAAAATTTTTCCATTCATATTTTTTCTCTAAAACTGCTGGAAACCCTAGCTGTCAGGCAGACAGCATAGCACTGTACTGAGAGGTCAAGAACTGTGTGTGGGATCTTTGCTTCTATTTAGTAAATAGAGGAAACAAGCAAGGAGCATTGGGTTCACTCAAAGAACAAGCAGAGATGCCCTCAGGTGGTCCTGCCATGGAAGCTGGTGACCCACTGTCCACACAGGGCTAGTTCTCTCCACCATATACAAGTAGGGCTGAGGAGTAAGGGTTCCCCCAGTTTCACTCCCCAGGACAAAAGTCATCTTTGGAGCTCATAAGGCCAGCTCCTGTCATGTCTCTGTCCTGCTGATCAGTGTTCTCTGCCCAGTTGTGAGTCCCCTGTTTAGTGCAGTCTCTGTTCCATGTGTCTAGGACTATACAGTCTTCTTTCCAGAGAACTACATCTGTGGAATTTCAATTCATTTTATTCAGTACACAATCCCCCCATATGGACTCCAGAACAGTAAAGGAAAATGAAAATTACTATCATTATTGCTATCTGAAAGGAAAATCAAAACAGCCAGCAGGAATGCATAATTCATATAAGATTCCAGGGCTGCATTGTCCAGACCCTGCATAGCATGGAATCACCCATCAGAATGAAGGACACCCTGTGCTCAGTCTGTTACATGGTACCTTTCCACATACAACCCTGTCACCTCTAAAGCTTCCAGATCTAGAAAACTAGTAATGCAGAAAAAAAGAACCTGATCACAAGTGCACACTGTTGAACTGTACTGATGGAGGGTTACCTGCAGGAACTGCCTGAGAGATTAGCCTGTGACAAATCCACCAGGGTCTAAGGTCACACTCAGAGGGGAAAGGTCATCTTCTTTCCTCCAGCCTTCACTTTCTCAAACTGCAGGTCAAAGCTGACCTGGTGTGGGCAGAGGTTTTGATTCATGGACAACAAATTTGTATGTTTGTATAGACTCTTAGCTTTTATGATTTGAGGTTCTGATGTTTAATTTATGAAGAATTTTGCGTTGCTGAGGTCATTTTGTCTCATGGCAACTCTAGAAATCATTCGGCTGTTATTATCATTTCCATTTTGTAGTAGACAAATAAATGAGAGGCTGCAAAAGGTTGACACCCTTGACAAATGACACCACTGTTCAGCCAGCCCCTTTGTTCATTCCAAGCTCTGGACTGTATTTGAACTCATAAAACTATTTCGTTTCAGCTATGTCTATATATTCCTTCCCTTGGACCACCAGGGACTCTGATAACCTTGCTTCTTAATTGCTATGTTCCAAAATGGCTGTGGAAGCATGGGAGTATGTGGGGAAAAATTACAGGCCACAGCTGTGGGGTCCGGGGAAACTTTCACACCGCAGCACGTTCCACATGCAGGAGGAACGTATATGGTTCCAGCGGCCCAGAAGCTTTGGTGGCGGCAGGCCCCAATGTCATGAGGAAGTCCTTGGTTCCAAAAGGTTTATTGTCATGATAGATGGTGGATGAATCTGGAAGTACACCCCGTAAAACTCAGGGCAGTCCCGAGTTATATAGGGAGGGAGAAAGGGGGAGTGTCTGGGGAGGATGGGGGAGGATCTGGGGAAGCATGCTTAATTTGCTCCTCCCTCTGGCCTTCATTAGTATGTAAATCCCTAGAGCCTGAGGTGTTTAGTCACACCCTCTACCTGTGCACTTCGGCAGGGGCTGTAATGGTCAGCCTACATCACTGAGTTTTAAGGAGACTAGACTGCTTTTCAGGACCCTGGGTTCTTGGGGTGCACTGAACTCCTGCGGGTTCTCACACAGAGTCTCAGGGTTCTAGGCAACTGCCCAACCATGACCTAGAATACCCTTACACAGTCCCACAGGAGTAGACACAGAGGTACTGAAAATTTCCCAGAGAGTCAAGGCTGGAATCTGCAGCTCAATTACACCCAAGCATGTTAGCACTCTAGTCTCTGGTTTTACCTGTCTTTGTAGAATTACAGCACTGTTCCTATGCAGTAATGAAATGGGTTTCAAGACAATAAGTACTTTGTGGACTCTTAACTGATCCACATTCTGAAGTTACAGAGTTGTTCTTACAGGACACTGAAATAATTAATCAGTATGATTAAAATGGATTCTCAAAGTTCAAGATAAATCATACACAAAATAAGAACATCCTGGCTTGTAGTGTTTCCTTTGCTCTTTTATCTGTAGGATCCTCATGGGTTTAAGTGGCCATGGGCATCGAGCCACCAAATAGGGAGGAGAGGAGATGCAGCCAGACCAAGAGATGTACAGATTCCTTCACCCAAGTAGATGAAATATGAGGGACCACCCACACAGAACAGATGTGGCTTGTAGGACAGCTGTCTTTTAAATATCCTTCCTAGGGCACTGTCTGAGAACATCTGCAGCAAATGGGAAACACAGAAGTTCAGGATTCATGAGGTGTCTCCTTGTGAGCTGCAAGAAGCAAGGCAGAGGAAGGTGGGCTTCTGGCCCTGCAACTAGTGCCTGCAATCCTCATATTATTTTTTTTCATTGTTAAATAGTCAAAAGGTCAGTCCTTGAGCTGATTTTTATTCAAATCCACACTCACTGTAGCAACGTGAACAAGCACTGCTGGCTGTGTCTGGGGGCAAAGTTTGATACATCCCTGTCTCTTGGACTACTTCCAGGTGTCATCACCAGTGTGGCAACATGGAGACATCCTCCTTCCTACACCTGGCTATCTGAGCAGGAAGGTAACCACTTGGTTACCTCTGAACTCTGAGTGGGTTCATTTATTGAGCCAGCAGCTGCTAGCCACATAGACCTATATAAACCTGAATTACTTTGAATTAAATACAAGCAGCAGCTGATTCCTTGGTCTCACTACACACTCCATTCATTACACAGAAGGCAGAGTGTTCAGTGTCTATCAGAACACTTCTCCCAGGAACACACAAAGCTCATTTCCTCAATTTTTAAGTGTATCCTCCCCCAAAATGCCTTCCCTCATCAGAGATTCACCAACATTCGACAGACTGTTTCAATCTTTGGAAGAATCTTGACCTACCCAGAAATTCTCTGCAGTCCTGCTGTCTACTAATCTGACTTTTTCTGAGCACCAGGCAAGCAGAAAGGTCAGGTATATCCTGGCACAGAAAGGACTCAGTCCACTTTTCTGGATGAAGAACACACCTATGGCCTTAGCCAACAGAAAAATCATGTTCAACTGTGAAAAGTCTCCATCAGATTGTCCAATAGACAAGTCTGTAGAGTATTTTATTGATCAGTGATTGATGTGAGAGGTTGCAGTCACTGTGGGTGGTGTCACCCCTGGGAATGTGGTCCTGGGTTGAATAGAGAAACAAGTTGAGTTAAGTCATGGAGAATAAGCTAGTAAGCATCCTTCTTCCATGATCACTGTTTCAGTTTCTACTTTGAGTTTCTACTCAGAAGTCCCTTCAAGGTGGTCTAAACGCTGATGAAATAA